ATGTATACTTTTCAGAAGAATACTTTAAAGGGAATTTCTAAGGTGGCAGACACAGCACACTGGTCAAAGATGCTGGTGCAGTTTAAGTTCATTCTTTTGAGAAGTTTTAAGTTCATTCTTTTAAGAACTTTGGAAAGCTTAACTTTGCAACCTTCCTATCCATTATCATGAATTTTAAGACCTGGAATATGCAGACACAAATCCAAGAGTAACAGTACAGCAGCAATTATGACACTGCATATTAATTACTACTGGCTTTCAGTTTCACACGTATTTGAACTTGGCTTATTTTCTTTTTTCATAATACATGTTTTTTCCTGATAAGAACTAATTGAGCTCCATTTTCATAGAATATTTGTAGGGAGGAATTTAAGGCTCAAAAGGGAAGAATGTGCAAAATGGAAAAAGTGAATCAAGTGCCTGTGATTTATGCAAGGCAGATTTCCAAGATTATTGAATTTCACTCCTAAGGTCAGTGTCGCATTCTCTAATTGAGAATAAACAGGCACTCACTGTAGTCAAAGATTCATTGAAAAGTAGGAAGTAATAAGTGTAACCGGATATTTTCTTGAAAGTACAATAATCTGAGGTACAGTTTATAGGAAAAGAGAGCACATTTTTGTTTTACAGTTGTGGCAGGAAGTGCATTTATATTATGCAATTAAGTAAGTATCCCTAATAAACTGATGTTAAATGAAAGAACATTTTTACAGCAAGTATAAATGGCTTATTTCCCATTGCTCTGTGCTTTGTGGAGTTTTGGCTTGTACAAGGTGGGAATAAACACTAAGTATTTATACTAAATATAAAAGGTGGAAATTTATATTTATGCATGAAAGCGTAATAACGTAAGCAGGAAGGCAGAGAGAAGACATATCAGAAATGATGTTCCAAATGCTGAAAACTATAAATGAAGGTGAAATCCTCAAAATATTTAAATGCCTTTTCTTTTTTCCTTTATACAACAATAAACAAATAAACCTACTTCAAGAAAATGCACTCGAAGTAGTTCCCTGCTCAATTAATACAGTTTCCTAAGATGTGCATATGGGGTTGTGCAGTTAACTATTACTATATGAGATGAAGTTAGGGATGCATCTCATTTCCTTGCTTTACTTTGACACTGCTTTACTGGGGTCATTGGCACAATGCAGGAAGTCAAAGCTTACTGAAACAAAGTGGCAAAATTATGTCTAGGGTTTTATGACCTTATTACTTTTTTTCATAGAATTTTTCCTTTGACCTCACTCTGCATTTCTGTGTCTCTCTGTAGTCCTTTGTATTGAATCCTTCTCTCTGGTTTTCAATGGATTTTTCCCCCCAAGCTTCTTTTGATTAAAACATGAACCATATCATATTTCAAGTTGAATAGAAGTTTTGCAGTGTGTGAAAAGTAATAGGTCTGCAGTAGGCTGAGGCAGGGCCAATCTCTACCCACTGCATTCACAGTCAGAAAGACCATGGGTTATAATAAGCCTCCTCAGTCATCTCCAGGTCACCCCAGGGATTTACCCCAGTTTGACTGAAGGAAGGGGAGAATGGCATTGATTTATGCTTAAAATTTCGTGTTGAAAAAAGCACTTTGGATTCCAGACAGTTTGGGTTTCAATGCATGTGTAAAAATAAAATGATATTTTAACACTTACTTTTTTTCCCCTGAAATTGAATTTTGTTTTGCAGTTAAACACCAGATTATTTTTGTACATAAATGTGGTTATATTTGTGCTGTTAACTCTGACGTAGCTCAAGTATGATATGTATAAACATAGCTTTTGTCACTGTGTTTTTCACTGATAGAAAGATAAACTATTATTATTAAGGCTTAGAACAGAACATTGGCATGTTGTGGAGGGAAAATGTAACACAATTAATTACACCACAATTAATGTTATAATAAAGTACCTTCTGAAATACAGCAGGAATATAAATAGCACCAAGAGCAGCAGCCTTTCATCATAAATCTCATTTTAAAATAATAAACATTACTATTCTTCCAATGCTTCTTCCAAAGAACACATTTTAAATTTAAGCTGGACCATTGAAACAAGCAAGCCATAATCCATATTTTATTTTGGCAGCGAATTCCATGATGGCACTTTATAATGAATTTACAATGTATGGATGTGGGACTAGAAGGGACGGCCTGAATCTTTAAACTCTGTCCTTAAAATAATGAAGGAAAACTGCTTGAAAGGTCTATGAACACAGACACCACTTCTGCTGGTGGTGGACTAATAACATGGTAAATGCATAAACTCTCCTAACCTTTATCTGCTATGCTACAGCATCTCTTCACAGTGGGATAATGCAAAAGAATGTTCTTCTCGAGATAGCAGGAAAAGAGTATTTAAAAAACGCCCCTAGACATGAGCAAGGCCCACATATATTAAAGATGTGTTGCCAGATTTGACATGACCTTTCCCCTTTAAATGTTTCAGATAACCAATAATAGAATCTTTTCTCTATAACATTTGCCAAGAATGCTTTAAATGAAACTATCGTTGGGGTCATACACACATTTAAACAGATTTGGGCTGCCATCCAACAATTACATATGCCTGAAACAAATGCTTAAAAATTGTATTCCTATATATGTGAACTGCACAGAAACAGTATGAGCCTGTACTGGTTTCCATTATCCCTGGATTCCTTGCTACACAAGATACTTGCTCTACCCATGTCCACTATCCCTAGAGAAGGACAATATATATTAGATATTGTGTCCAGTTTACACCAGACTCGAGGTCCTGTGTCTCCTAATGTGTGAAAGTATAGACTTCTATTAGCATTTGTTCACAGTGTGGCTCAGGTTTGGGTCTGTGAAGAATCACTTAGTGCCTGATGGAGAGGTTTCGTGCAAGCTGTGGAGCACAGCTGTCAAGGGATAGTATTATCAGTCAGGATAAAGGAAAGTAGGATTCCCTTGAGATCTCAGACAACCTACTGATTACTTGAAACTCATGTGGAACCACCAGTGATGAGAAAGGAAAATACTTTATGGATAGCACTGCTTGCTATTGATTGCTTACTCAGATAGTCCGATTAATTTTGGTCTTCTAGTTTCCAGCATAGTAATGACTTCCTTATGTGTTATCCTTAGAAGTCAAACTGGCATCAAGTTTTGGTCAGTGGTGTCTGGAGCTGCTATCCAACACTCCAGATTAGGTGGTTGTACAGAGAGAGTCTGAAATCTTAGCACCTGAGCTGTTATGAAATCTGGAGAACATGACTAATCGTACCTTCACAGAGTATTTCTCCCCTCCCCCCCCCCGATTTCCACTTGACTTTTGTTTGATGCTACTGAGATAACTGTCTCTGATTTATATCACCTACTACATGGTGAAAGATAAATGATTCTTACCTTTGGCCCACAAAGGCTTTTTTCTTCTAGAAGCCTCTTAAAAAAATGACCTACTTAAAATATTTCCTGAACAATGAATCATAATATGATATTTCTGTCTTTCTGCATAACCTTCTGCCCAATTTTGTAATCAGAAATTATGTACTATTGGTACAAGTATTTCTAGAGTAAATAATTCAGACCTTGCCAGAGTTCCAGAAATTTCCATTTTTTTTTTTTTCCTGAGCTTATTCAGTGACCTCAGTTATGGAAGCTGACAGTACAGAAATTGCTGTAGACAAAGAGATAAATGAATAGGGTATTATCTAAATGAAAATGATACTTTGGACCATGGTGGGGAAGGATTAAGCGACGAAAGGATGACAGTGTTGAAAAAAGAGAGGCAAAGCATCTGTAGTTCAACACTAAATATCAGAACTGCGATTATTAATGGTAAGAAAATGATATCACTAATACAGTCAAAATTAGGCTATTTTAGAGACATTCCAGAAAGCCATGGGATATGCTTCAAGCATTACATTTAGAGTGTACAAAGCTACGCAAGAAGACAATTTAAAGTTGACCGTGGGCCAAAGCCACCTGCATCCAGAGGTCATCCCAGCTTCATTACAATGGGATTAACTAAAGCCTGCTTGAGAAGTTGTTAGGGACAAGGTGAGAGGAACTACTCCACAGCAGAGTAAAACATGGGAATTCACAGAACTGTCAGAACACTGACACCATCTGTTGCATGTGTCGTCATTTGCTGTATTACTGACTATGGGTTTGGTATCGGAAAGTGCTGAATGGGAGAAAAGCCCCAGCAGTGCTGGTGATTGAAGTGCAGCCTTAGCTCTGATGTCAAGGGCCTCACTCCAAGCATTTGCAGTTACATCATCACACTCCTAAAGTTAACTACAATAGCAGGCCAAAGGAGAAGTGGGATGGTTTATGTTGTTTCTGGATTTATCCTACAATTTTCTCATTTCAGCAGAAGGGACCATGATCTCAGTCCTGGGGGCATATAGCATGAAAACACACACCTGCTGACCTCAGTGTAACAGCAGCATACACAGAGGGACAAAGAGATCAGGAGTGTTTCTTGGGGAACATATGGTTTAACTCAGTTCATACTTTCCAGGCCTGCCCTTTTAGGGTAAGGCTACTTATGTGAATGATTATCAGAAGACACAGAGGGGAAATACTCAGGGAGAGGGTGGGAATTAAATTCCGTTACTGGAGGAGAACAGGTTTACTGAGCTTTCAGGCTCTTGTATGGAATTTGGTAAACTGAAAGGTTCTTGCAGTCGGATGGTTTTAACTGCTTCTAGTGCCTCGTTTAACTGTAAAAGAAAAATGTGTGCAAGCTTTTTGTGTAGACCTGATTCTCCCTGTTTAAGGTCAAAGGAACTTCAGAAAAATCCCAGCTGTGACTGCTCCTAGGGATTTATCTTAGGGAATTTGCTTTCACATTAATAAGCACCAATAAGGAGCAGAAGTCTGTACCTTTTATTTTTAGATTCTGGTGTGGAAGATACTATTGCGTAAGAAAGAGGAAACCAGGCATTTCCACTATCACAGACCTACTCTTAGCACTGCCAGGAGGCAGAGGAGTTGTTCCAATAATTCATTATTCATTTTGGCTTTTTTCTTGTCTTAGGAAAAATATTTATCCCTAAAGAAAAGCCCATAGAAACCCGTACAGAAGAGAAAGTGACCCTGGATCCAGAACTAGAAGAAGCCCTGGCCAGCGCTTCAGATACTGAGCTCTATGATCTTGCAGGTTAGATAATGTATAGGTATGATCCCCCTACATGCCTGGTTCTTCTCTGCCTAACCTGCCACCAGCAGTGTCTCATGATCATCTCCCAGGCATCTGCTGTTTCACTTTTCCATAAGAATAAACTGATGATAAAAGTAAAAATCTACACAGAGTTAATAACATTTAATTAATACATGATCCTACAGAATAACACCTAATTAGATAACTTATGGGAGAAGTATCAGCAAATAAAACACAATTTATTCTCTGACACTACAGAAGTTCAAGCATGTACAGTTAAATTCTTCTCAGATATGCCAGACAGAAAGCAGTAAGAGGTTCAGTCTGTATATGAGGAAAAAAGGAATTATTAGGAGTAACCCAAAGAGTTTCTGGATTTCCCTCCCTGGATGTTTTTAGGATTCAGCTTGACAAAGCCATGGCTGACCTCATTAACGCTGACAACATTCCTGCTTGAGGGGGCAGCCTGGACAAGATGACCCGCAGCAGTTCCTTCCAGCTGGCATTTCTGTGATGTGCATACTACATTGATTCAATTGCTCAAAAATCCATGTTAAAAATGTCTGTATGTCCAGTACTTAGACCTCAAAAGACCCTCCCTACAAACAAGCATGACTCAGAATGAATATTTTATAAAGGGGTTTTGTTTGGGGACTTAAACTAGAATTTGTAGCAGATATTTTTCTGCAGTCTTTGTTCCTGCCATTAACGTTGTATCCTGTTGCTGGTATTTACACATTTTAGCTGTTCTTGGAGTGCACAACATGGTCAACAACCCAAAATTTGATGAAGGAGGAGCCCGCAGTAAAGATGGAAAAGGAACTGTAAGAAGTAAGCAAGCTGATTTCTCTTGTGGGCTGTATTTCATGTTCAGAGACTTTACACCTAGAGGTTGGTTGTATTGGTCTAATTTAGTGTAATGTAACTGGGCCTTACCTTAATTGATCTAATTATTCATGAGGGGTAGCTCTTTAAGATAAATACAATCTTAAAATTAATTATGTATAATGACAACAGTACTACGCAAACAAATCATTCCTAAGGAGCTTTGCTTTCCTAGAAAGCAATATCTGGCTCTGCAGAGGTGCTTGAAAGTATGAGAGTATTTAAGAAGCTAAGACATACATATTTTCTTTACACTTCAGTGTAGGTAGCAGATGGAAAACATAGTGAGCTGTGGCTAAGAGGTGGCCATGACACAGGCCAGGCCATCTCACCCCAAGTATATTTGCTCAGCTGAAGAATGACTTGTAACCATGGGGCTCAAATGTGGCACAATCCCTAGCAGAATCACATTGGTGACTAGAGTCACATCGAGTTGCATTCACAAGGAGCCAACAACCACATGGATGTGTTCCTGCCCCAGCTACTCTCTCTGATCTACTACCTCCCACCTTTGCCTTGTGGCAGCGTGTTTAAGTGTTGTCTGTTATATGGTTCCTTAGGTACACAGGAAGCGTAATCGTTCAGGAAATTCCCCAACAGAAACATCTGTAGTTACTAAAAACAAATGCAGAAATGTTTGCACTAGATAAACAGACCTTTGCTGAATCAGATCTTAGCTCAGCAACCAACAGGAGGCTGGATGGGGAGAGAAGTGGGTACGTCTGAATTCCAAGTTTTTCTTGAGTACTTCCAGGTCTTGATCAGGAGCTTGTCACCTCCAAGCTTTGGAATATCAAGTGAGCTAAATTTTGCTTTTTAAGACAAAATCATGGAATGCCCTTTTCTAGGGAAATTACTCAAGAAGCTTCTTCTAAGGCCACGGGAACAGCAGCTATCTTTAACAAGGACTTTAATTTTCATGCTTCATTACTAAAGTGGAGGTGGGAAAGTTGACAGGACATCGTGCCACTTCATTTCTCTCAGGATTAAGACTGCTCTGCAAGCCTGCCTAACAGGGCACTGTGCGGCCTGCCGTCTATCTCATAGGAGGCACTGCAAGCATTACACAGATTACACAGATTTCAGAATATTTTTGTTGCACTGAGTGAAAATGTCAGCTATGTGAGTCAGCTACACTGTGCTCCAATCACACAGTTAAGAACCAGAAAGTCACATCTCTGTATTCTTTGGTTCAAAAGCAAGACCTTTTCTTAGCCAATTAAAATGCTTTGGTAAAAGAGGGAGACATCTCAAACAGCTGCCCATCAATGCGGCAGAACAGCATGATGATTAAAGAAACAAGATATAACTCATGAGAAGCAACAAGAAATAGAAAGTGAAAAAGGCTGCTGGCTGCAGTCTGAGCATACTGTGATGTCTAACCTGAGGGCAGGGTGCTAGTGTCTCTCCAGCTCCCAGCTTGGCATAGTGTTACCACTAGTGCAAAACATGCTTTGCTGGTTTTTCTTTACTTTGCATCTTTGCATCTAAGGTGAATTCACTTTATTCATTGTACCTACTCCCTAGGAAGGCTGGAGTGTTAATTTAGTGATACGTGAGGTCTCTCGGGGACTTAGTGAAATAAAAAGTTCAGAGTGCAAGGGAGCAGAGTGAAAACCAGCTCCAGGTTTGTGTATGACTTCATCTCTACTAAGAGTTCTAAAAAAATACTTGGTTTTCTTTTGGTCTGTGATATGGCATGAACTTTACCCATTGCTCTGAACAGCAATGTGTAGTATGTTGAGACTTGAGCATGTCTTCAAAATCACTCACTGTCTGCAACGTAAAAGGGTATAAACATACTTGTGGTCAGTAACATATTCCTTGGTGGGCTGGTTGGTCAGGGATTATAAATTAATCTCTGAAACTACATGCATGGGAATTAGAAGTAGTAATTGTGTTCTAACCTATGATTTTTATGAATCTCCAAGAATATTTATAGCCCATAGCTTCCAGCATTAAAACCTCTATCTCTTTGGAGCATGAATGCTCAAAGACTTCATAAATCTTGGTGCTGGCAGATAGACTTACTTTTTATGCCTTGATAGTTTTATTATTTAGAAAGTGCAGATGTTGCAATTTTACAAGAGCTAATTGAATTGAAATACAAGGCTGATAGCATCAGCCGAGAGAAGGAAAGTGAGGGGCCTCCTTCTCATGTTCTTTTCTGTTAGCACAGCCTATTCATAGGTACAGGGATGTTTTCTCACTAATGTAATGGGCAATTTCTGAGCACGCCTTCCCTTTACAGATATTAGACAAAAAACAAACCAGCCCTTGCAGTGTTTTACAGTGTATATTATCCCATTTTAAAGCTGCTTTGCCTCAGTTTCATTGCACTACGACTTTTGTACATAAAGGAGGAATTTGCCCGTGATGATACTGCCCAGCCTCTGTAACTACAGCCTCCAATGACATGCTTCTGGGCACACAGAAGGTGCAAAGTGCATGGCAGGGATAACAGGACTAATACTCCTGTTTCCAAATTTTGTGGTTCATATAAACCCTTTCTTGAATGCTACTATAGAAACCTAAATGGGAATTGGAAGATCAGACTGTTACTGATGATGCCTGATCCTAACATCAACATTTCATGAGATCTTGTGTTGCAGATGTGGTGAAAGGTGAAAAGGTCAAGCCCATCTTTGAGGAGCCACCTAATCCAACCAACGTGGAAGCAAGTTTACAAAGGATAAAAGCAAATGATCCTAGTCTCATAGAAATCAATCTTAACAACATAAAGGTAGATGCTGTGGTTTCATTTATGTCATTCATAGGAGAGTTTATTCAAATATTTACAAAGCCCTTGCCTTTTAACTTTAAATTTTGTCTCTCTCTACTCTTCAGAAAAAGCAGGACACACAGGAAAGGGGTGTGGAGGGAACTGCTGTAGAGGTTTCAAGGTCACCTGTGCCTGATACTGAATTAGATGCCAATTAAAAGCCCAAGGGGTGACTCTAGATGCCTTTCTTTAGCAGACTGTAAAGCAAGATCTCTCATGGGCACTATGCAGTCATCACCAGCCAAATTCAATTAGTCCACCCATGCAAATGGAGGAGGAGCTGGCATGTAGAGACTAAACAACCGACAGCAGGAATAGGAAAGTAGCTCAAGATCAGTCACATGCTTGTGGTGGCCTGACCCAGTTAAAAGCAGTGCTGACATCGCATCCTGGCGCAGGCGTCCCATGGGTCTCTGAAGGCCTCTATGAACAGAGGACACTTTGTCCATTCTGAGTTACCCTTAAAAGTATCAGGGATGTTTAAACTGCATAGACTGTGGCTATCAATCAGGTTGATAGTAATTAAAATCAGTGTCTAGTGATATGACTGGCTTTCCTAATTACTGGATTTGTCTTCTTAATGTAGAATATTCCTATTCCAACACTGAAAGAATTTGCAAAAGCTTTGGAAAGCAACACGCATGTGAAGACATTCAGCCTTGCAGCTACTCGAAGCAATGACCCGGTAGCTATTGTAAGTTAAACACTGGTTGGAAAAAAAAACCCTGCTTTAGGATGCATTCTTCATTTTCCCTCACAGAATTTCTCTATGACTATGCAAAGTAGAAGTGTAATCTCTTCTGATCTACCTCTATGTCCTTGTAAGCCTATTTATGTTCTATTTCTTTGCAGGTACTATATTTTGCAAATTCCTTGTTATTTCCTGAAACCCTCAAGACATTATCTCATATTCCTTCTTTTTGACCCCTCAGGCATTTGCAGATATGTTGAAAGTGAACAAAACACTGAAGAGTCTGAATGTAGAATCCAACTTCATCACTGGCACGGGTATTTTGGCACTGATTGATGCACTGAAAGAGAATGAATCCCTGACAGAGATTAAAATTGACAACCAGGTAAAGAGAGAACATTGAGTGAATCCACTTTTGTTTCCCTTCTATATGGATTCCAAGAGGCCTCTCCTAGAGGGCTCTGGCAAAGTCAAGGCAGCCGCTGTGACTCAGTCATTCTGCAGCCAAACAGCGGAAAACTTCTAAATAAAACTGGTCAAAGCCAAATATAAAACCCAGAGCAAAAATCCCTGGGGATGGGATTCTCTTTGTAGTTTGCAGCACAGTACTGAAATACAACTACTTATTTCTCTCTCATAAGAGAACAAACATTTTCTTTTCTTTTGGGGACATTTCACCACACGACCAACAGAGGCAACAGCTGGGGACAGCTGTAGAGATGGAGATTGCCAAGATGCTGGAGGAAAACTCCAAGATTCTCAAGTTTGGATACCAGTTCACCAAGCAAGGTCCAAGAACCAGAGTAGCAGCAGCTATAACTAAAAACAATGATCTGGGTAAGATGCTACTACATTTACTCATCCAGCAGGTCAAAGGAGGTGATCCTGCCCCTTTACTCTGCTCTCGTGAGACCTCACTTGGAATATTGTGTGCAGTTCTGGTGTCCTCAACATAAAAAGGACATGGAACTGTTGGAACAAGTCCAGAGGAGGGCCATGAGGATGATCAGGGGACTGGAGCACCTCCCATATGAAGACAGGCTGAGAAAGTTGGGGCTTTTCAGCCTGGAGAAGAGAAGGCTGTGTGGAGACCTCATAGCAGCCTTCCAGTATCTGAAGGGGGCCTATAGGGATGCTGGGGAGGGACTCTTCATTAGGGATTGTAGTGATAGGACAAGGGGTAATGGGTTAAAACTTAAACAGGGGAAGTTTAGATTGGATATAAGGAGGAAATTCTTTCCTGTTAGGGTGGTGAGGCACTGGAATGGGTGATTAAAAGCTACTCTTATTCTTCTCCCACCCCTCCTGGGAAGGAGAGTTACTTCAGTCTTTTCAATGGAGCACCCTGGATTTCCAGCTGCCATGTCAGCTGTTCTGGCCAGTAAGTAGAAAGCCAAACCCATCCTGTTTGTTCAGTGAACGCAGAAGTCATTGCTTCTTTGCCCTGCCCATGACAAACCAAGCTTGCTCAACCAAGGGAACAAAAAAGATTTTCCTGCCTGCGTGACCCAGTACGGGCAAAGACAAAGCTTTGCAAGTTTTACCTGAGCGTGACATGCTCTGCCCTGTGTGCTCAGTACATGGAACAGGGAGGAGCTGACCAAGCAGCGGCAGTTTAGAATAAGAAGAGGGGTAGGGGAATATTAACTCTATTTTTTAATCAATTCCACTTCAAAGTGGGGTATCAAACCATGATGCCTTTGCTGGCTTCAGCTTGGGTTTATGTCTGTGAGAACCAAGATAAGAGTTGAGCTAGAACCCATTTCTTTTACACATACTTTTATGCTTTTTCAGCTTTAATTTTTAGCAATACCTAAGATTCTAGTTATATACTATTTGTCCTGAAACTATTAACATTCTGGAATGGTATTTGGATCATCCCAACAACAAAGAGAAAAAGACCTTTTTTCACTATTTAACCAGATGCCATTAGACATCTGTCCTGTACCCAATCTTCATTTTCCTGCTTTTGTATTGGATTGTTTTGTTCAAGATTTAGTAGCATGGAGTACCTAAAAGAATTCAATAAAATAAATGAAGCAACAGAAACACTGAAAGCAGACAGAAATAATTGATGTTACACTGTAGGCTTTGGAATAACACAGTCTGTCAAGAAAGCACTATGAGATAAATCTCCCAATAGTAAAGTAATGGGATGTTTGTAGTAATATATTGTTTTATTGAATTTCTGTAGTGAAAAACCTTCATTCATCCAGTTTTACTGCTTTTGTTTCTGTACTTCAGCAGTTCTGTACTTTTGTTTCTGTACTTCAGCAGTTCTGTACTTTTGTTGCTGTACTTCAGCAATTCAATATCAGAAATGGGACATGACAGTTTGATGTAACACCAAATTTTGTATCGCACAAACAGGAGAACCTCACTAATCTTTTCTGGCCAAGTCAGAGATGACTCAATACATTTTTATTAGGGCAAGGAGTAGCAAATGCTGCCCAACTAGGCCTGCTGTAATGTATTTTAAGTACTGTAAAAATTCACAATTAATTTGTGAAGCTTGTCAAAATACTCTTGCACATACACAAAGCTCATCACTGTCTGCTCTGCTAAATGGCAACTTCAACCTACTTGGTTTCTAGTGAGAATCTGGAGCTAATTGGTAATTAACTTACTATCAGATGGTTGATGCAGTCAGAGCACGTGAAGTTAAACCAGATAATTTACGGTGCAATATGTTGTTTTCCTTGTTGCCAATACTCATTGATATCAGTACTTAAAAGTACTTCAAATTATTTTCTAAAAGAATATGATTATTTCTCACCTATAATATACACTTTCACAATTAAAAGTGTTATTTACTTTTGATGCCTAATGCTTAAATACTCCAGAGCACCGTCATACAGATTAGAGCAGACAACTATCAAGTTAGCTGGAACAGAGTGGCTTTTAAAAGAACAGTTAAAATGTAGCAAAAATCTAAACAGAATTATTGGGAGGAAGCACTGGAAATGGTGATTTCTTCATCATCTAAAACCTTTAGCTCAGAATCCATTTTTTATACACTGTGTTGATATGAACACTTGGTGAAATTCTATAGTCTGTGATATAGAAAGAAAAGTGCAATTTAGATACAAATGTTTTGTTTAGCACTGAGATCTGTTAATTACAGCATTTATGGTCATAATCCCGCTGAGTATTTCTTAGAAGCTTCTTCCTTCCTATTCATGGTACTGGGAAGGGAACATGTTAGTGAGAAGAGTCCTTAGGCAATTGGAAAAGCAATAATGACTGCTCTTGTCTTGTTTTATTGGTCTAGTTCGTAAAAAGCGGGTGGAAGCAGAGCGGCAGTAGCCACGCCATAGAGGATGCAAGGCAAGATTGGAGGCCACCCACAACTGCAATCTCAGAGTGCTCACTGGTCAGAAGGGAGTATATAATGGGAATTGCTCATTTCTCTTAATGTCTCCTTTTAACCTTGAAAACACAGCCTGTTCGTTTTTAACTTTCAAGGTTAAATTTATTTTTTTTTTGTGAGAAAGAATCACAGTTGGTTTGATTTTAATGGAAAAAACACCAAAATGTTTTGCAGTATCTGACGCCAATATGCAGAATCTAAACTGTGTTACTGAGCATAACACATAGTGATTCTGACCCTTATTTTAGATACCTTTTGACATGTTCAATTATGATCTTGTGTATGATAAGGGATTCTCTGCTGAAAGTAGAAGTTTTAGGGCCAAGTTCTGCAATGCCTTATGTTTGTGAATAATCCTTTGTATATAGTCCTGCTGAACTAAATCCTGCAATGGGATGCTCGAACTAGTAAAGCCAGTACAGGTTTGCAGGATCACACCCTTGAGCCTCTCTCCTGCAGCAGGATCTGAGCAACTGGAACAGCACCCTTCTACCTTCTTGGGTCTCCACCCATCCAGGTCCAAGTGTAGATTCATGCCTAGACATCTAAACATTGTCAAAGCCTACTTGTTTACATAAGCTTAGGTTAGGTGCATCATTTTGCAATGTTATTTGTTATCCTTACTCTACATTGTAAAATAATAGTAGTGCTGCCAATTCTATAGATTTTGAATGTTTTGGATTTTATAGACCAACAGATTTTTATTTGTTACTAGAATGCACAGTTTACAGCTATTAATCTTAATCTAAACAAGTATTCTCAGCAATATTTGTTTTGCTTTGAGCCATGTGTTGGACTTTTTTTAGTTCTAGTATTTATGTACATTTGTTAGTATTACAGAACTGTTCTCAGGACCTTTTAGATGAAGATTAATTAAACAATTAATCCAGGAAAGCAGCTGTGCTGCCCAGAAAAGAAACATCAGAAGGGTAGTTGTGACAGCTACGTAACTTACATTTATAGCCTCCAGTTAAGGTTTGTCCCTGTATCACAAAGCACCTAGGTATTCACATCAGTGATTACCTAAATAAAGGCAGATTTAGCACATGCTCAAATGCTTTGCTAAATCAGAGCCTTAACTCAGATGCTTGGACATGATCTTAACCCAGTGGAAAGCACCCCTAAAGAAGCAGCAGCTAACCCCAATGCTCAAAAGCATCAACCTTTTAGTGAGAATTCAGTCTGATGTTTCATTTTGTGTATTTTGCAGTCTAGAACTGTTCTTCTACCACTGTTTTATCACTGCCAACAGTTGCCTCTGACTAACAGCCAGAGGTTCATTTTGCTTACACACACACATGCTGCAAGAGCTAAGGGAGACTCGGGTTAGGTGCGTCACACAGATGTAATGCTTTCAGAAAGCTGCAAAAATGACCTGGGACTAGAGCTGCTACCTGGGAAACACTGGCCTCTCCTCCAGAACAACAGGGATGAAGCACAGCTTCCTGCAGATGATGGATGAATGCTGGAGGTCATGGTCACTACAGCATGCTCCTGACCTGCGGGGAGAGCTGTGAGCCACTGTGCAGCTGGGCATCCAGGGATTAGAACGCAGGGGATCCCAAGAAGCAGTTGGTACACGTTTGACATACTTCCCTGAGTGATGTCTTCATGACCAGAGCTGGGGTGCAAGCTGACAGGATGCACCCTCCCTCCGTGCCTTTTATAATGCAAATAAGTAGGTCCAAGGCAACACTCTCTATTTAACTCACTGTTAAACACTGGCCCTCACACTGGGGTCCAAACTGAGTAACATACACTTAAATCCCACTTTAGGAGACTATTCTAAGTCTACTGAGCTGGGATGCAACGAGTGTTATCTACAGTTTACCTCCCTAGAGAGCTCCCAGTCTTTACAATTTCCACCTCTCCCTCTCTTCCCCAGAATAAGGCTGAAACCTTTGCTTTGCAAATAGAAAACATAATACACCAGGGAGTCTTGCTGAGGTTTTCCCTGGATCCATGCAAGATTTTTTGGGAAAAACTTTGATATCCCATTAAAAAAAAAAAGTCAAGTTCTGTAACACAGTTGTAACTCTGCATGGGCTTAAAAAAACAGTCCTTAAAACCTCTGTGGATTACCATGGGAATACTGGGCTTTGCAGCACAAAGTCTTATGGATAGGAAAAATCCTCATCCCCAAAACCTAAAGATTATGGTTACTAACAAACTTCAGTGATTAGACTCACACTGCCCCTATTTCTTCCTCATTTGATCCAACCAAGGGAATCCCAACTGTTATTTTTTTTTTAATGTATTTTGAAGATATTTTTATTACTGTAACTTTTTTTTTAAGGGCGGTACATGTATGTTTTGAAGGGAAACAAGTGCAATCCATACTAGTCTTAATTGCTATTTAAAGTGTTGGTATTTGCATGCAGCAGTTTTACAAGGATGGAACGGTCTGACTGCTCCATGATGCCTGCAGCGTGTCATCCTGTATAGCTTTGCTCGGAGCCACACAGTGGTTATATAGTCTGGTGGCTCCATCCACATTAGCTACAGTTTGCACCGTGGACCAATGTACCTGGCTAGGGAAGGTCCTGGGGGCTCTCCATCCCTTGCTGTGCCATGCTGTCTGCACAGGCACATTTCCTCTGAAGGGAGGATTCCTCAGGCACTTGGAAGTATCTGTTCAAACCCCAGCCCCACCATGCACTAGCAGACAGTGCCTGGAGCTGTTCCCCCGTGGCAGGGACCTGGGAGGTCTGGCTCCTTCCTGCATGCATGAGGAGAATTCCTCAGCCCTGGCCATTCTCTCCAGGCAGCTGCTGCCAGCCCCTGATGGGTGTCTCAGTGACCAGGGACATCTCTGTCCTGCCTCTTGTGTGGGTTCCACACGAGCTTGGCTGTCACCTGGCCTTGAGCATCACAGTTCAAATAACTTGCACCAATATAAAGATCTGTTCAGTACAACAGCAGCCCACGATGGTGATGCTTGAAGGCAGATTTTTGTATTAATATAGATATAATATCATTTAGCTGGATAAAAATCTCTGCAGCTAACATGAAGGGGGTTGGGATGTGACTATTTTAAATTCTACTTCCTATTCTCAGTACTGAATGGAGAACAGGGACAGAAGAGCCCTTTTTTCTTACGCAAACATTCAGGAGTAACTTTGTCTGGTTTTGCACATTGCTTCTTGTGTTGACAGCTTCAGTTTGGTTTGTATTTTTTATACTTTTTTCATGGAAAAATCTCAACTTCGTACGTGTCCTAACATATATGTGAACAATGTGTGCACTAAGGATCATATGTGTACATGTATAACTCTAGATGAAGATGTAATCTCTGGAACAGAAGTAATTGCATGCGCACGGTGTGGTGCATATTACTCAAGAGGGAGAATCGCCACTCTATGTAACAGTGACTCCCCAGCATCATGGGTTTTCTAAATAAATCTTCATAAAGGATTTGGCTTTTGCAATTTCTTATGGTTTTGGGCCTTGAATCAAGCCTCCCTTGATGCTCTGACATCTTCCCTCCACAGTACACACACTGGGCTGAACCTTTGTGAATGATAGTTGGGTGCTCAGAACCAGCACTGGGAGGAAAGAACCCCATCATCATAAGATGTATCCCAAAGTCTTGGGGAACTGGATGATGTCATTGCCAAGCCACTTTCTTCTCCACACGGTGTCTCAGCAATTTTCTGTATGGCACTTCATTTGACACCGAGAACATACACTGATGTCTTCTAGGATATACATAGGCTCTAAGCTTCAAAGGAATCCAGGGCATTGTAAAACACTTAAAAGCATAGAGACTGAGTTAAGGAAATGGGCAAGTTGACCCTTAGAACTTACACTGCACCTTAAAAGACACTGCAAAATATACATAACTACACACACGTGAGGATAGTTAAAAAGGAAACCCCAGAACACCTCCCTACAATGTGCTTTGCGATCCCAGTCAGTTTACACACAGTAAAAACCTCTTCCCTACCCATTTAAAGGCAGCCTTTTGCTATGTTATTACTTTAACCCAAAATCTCAGAGTATCCTTTGCTCTCTCACATGTAAAAAAAAAAAAAAAGGGACTCCTCAATAAAAAGGGGAAATCTTATAGTGAAAGAAGAGGAGATATCCATGTCTCAGTATGTGGTACTGCTGGGATTCACAGAGACTATCATCAGAGGGAATGCTCATGGAAACTATGCAGCACAATTCCCAGATCCTCAGTCGTAAGGGAAGGAGAGAGTACAGCTGCAGAGAAGCTCAGGAGGTCATGCACTCCCATTTCCTATCTCCAGGATGGGGTTTTATTTTTCTACATACTTCATAGCTTTTGCAAAAAGACTGGGTTTGGTCCTACATCCCTTCTATTACAAGGGTTGTGTTGAAGTCCCTTGGGATTTTGACTATAAATGTAATATATGCCAAGGAACACAAATACTGTATCCCACCTTCTCAATCTGAGCCTTTATTTTAGGAATCAGCTTCTTCCCTTCCATTTTTCAGAATGGAAACTTTGTACACAAAGGACTGAAAAATAACTAATATAGAAAAATGATTGATACTATTCTTACAGTCTCTTGAGCATGCATCCTCATATCTTTCCTATTCCAATCTGTTCCGTTCCTCTCCCAGGCCTGAGCAACAGCAGTGCAAACCCCAGGTATCATACTTTCTACAAGGAATGCCAGGTTGGTCTCCCCATGAACATGATAGGGAGCAACAGCCTGAACTGCAGCAAGCTGCATTCACTACTGGCCATCCATCTCCTGCTGCTGCCATACAGAAGGTGCCTTGCTTGTATTCTTTTGATACATATACACAAATCTTCTATTTTGGTTGATACAGAGACTCGAGAGAGTTTTAATACCAAAGAGGCACAAGCTGACTACATCTTCTGCCATACCACAGCAGCTCTGACCTCCCTGTGCATTCCTTTGACCACAGCCAGGAGCTCTGCACTCTGTGCCCAATGTCAAGCTGCTGCCAAACCTGCAGAAGGCTGGCATTCAAATGCAGCTTGTGGAGAGCAGACTGCGAGGGAGAGAAACCACAGGGCAAGTTCTCTGTTGGGTGTGAGGACGTTGGACAGAAACCACTAAACCACACAGCTCTCAAATCATCTTTTCAGCTATTTTAATAGAGGACAGCATTTGCACATTAAAATCAACAACCAGCAAGGAATCTGTCATTCTAATCTGTTTCAGCTACAGCAAATGTCTGTCTGAATGGAGCAGAATGGTCAATGGCATTTGAGATTTCCTTTTTGAGGAAGGGGAACACACAGCAGAACTGTTTTCAGCTGGTTCCCAGCACAACAAATTGCTTTAAATATTCATGCTTTCCTAGTCCATTCCCGTAAAGCAGATGAGCACAAACAAAAGCAGCATGAGGGGCCTCCTTTAATGAGGGTCTGTTTGCTTCTTATAGACAGCTGCTGACTTTATTGGTTCTGACATTAGGTAGACTCACTCAATGAGCAAGGGAGGAGAAAACAAGGCTGTCAGATAAAGCCATCACATGCACTGTTTCACTTTATCTTTTCTGGTAGGGACTGTGCTGGTAGCATAGTGAATAGAATCTGGAAACAACATTTCATATTCAAAGTTTATTTCCCAGCTGTCACTACAGGTGCAGGTCACCTAAAAGCTGCCTAGGCTCTCAGTCTACATTAATGAACACTACATGTAAAGAATTCCCCAAACCTGAGAAGCTCACATTAATTCTACCACTTGTCCACGAAAAGGTTATACAGTCATCATCTGTCTAAATGAGCATCAAAAGCATTCAGATGGTGATGGAGGAGAAAGAGGTCACTCTGTACAAGTGGCTGGTGAGCAGGGGTGTTGGCATTCTTGGCTGGTTTGTACTTTATTAACATTGGCACACTGTACACACTGGGTTTCATCCGCACATCAACTAGGTTGCTTAGACGCCAAATGTGTTGTAACACTTCACTTAACTCTGCATTTGGGAACTGAAAAGACAGAGACATGGGCAGGAGCTGGTGGTGAGGCCTCCCCATGGCCAGCTTGCCCAGCTGTCAGGCAGCAATGGGTGGCACAGTTGCTCTATTCCATTCCTGTATTTTTTCCTGCATGTTTGTAGGCTGCTTGGAGGGACAAAAAGAAGTGTCACTAAATGTCTCAAGCCCACTAGAAAATAAGGATAGCTCCTCGTTATAATCTCCTTTAAACTTTGGTCTTCAGAACTCACTGCTCTGTGGCTGCTGATTAAAGCTCCAGTTAAGCTCTCTCTGCCTTTCCACTCCAAACACGCTGGTTGATCCAGGTTAACTACTGTGACATCTTCTTAAACACACCATAGGGAAGTTTATGGCACTTCTGAGCCTGGAGTAAGGTCAGGAACACTTCTGCTGAAGCTGGACCTGGTTACCTCACGTGTAAGTTGCTCCCCTTACCATGCTTTTGGCAGAGACCTTATCTCATATGCATTTATGGAAAAAAACAGAGTGCCTGACAGAAGGGAAATGGGAGTTTGATTGTCATAAGGGGACAGAAGGGTTCAGCAGCTGTGACAAACCCAGCCAGCAGGGACATAAGCAGTTATGCCACCTGCCAAGAGCTGAGTCCATTCCAGCACTAGAGATTCAGAGAGTTTGAAAGTTCATTTCCACAACAAGAAAGACTGAAGGCTTAAACAAAGATATGTGATGACATTTAAAAATGCATTTGCTTCCACTTGGTACACATTTTTTCAGTAAAATGAGACAGTTGTACTTAATCTTCTCATTATTTCCTATTCTATTTTTGTACCAATGAGAAAATCCAATTAAAAACATGATTTCCCTTCACTTCTGAACCTTTCAAACCAAGTTTAATTAAATGAACAAGTCTGAACAAGTTGCTTTTAATATTTGTACAATGGAAAACCCACTGTTTCCAAGGAGAAGAGGCACGATCCTGCGTGCCCTGAAGTCAGCTGGGACTCCAACCTGCACACAGCCAGTGCCCAGAGGCGCAGCAATCCTCAGAGACACCGATGAAGTACCTGCTGGTCCTGTGAAGGACTTGCTGGACTGTCCTTCAGCTCCTTGTGAGCTTGGAGTCAGAATGAATCACTGCAAGGCTCCAAGGAGATCTGGGTGCTGAATGGCAGACTTGCAAAAGGTTTTGCTTATTGTTTTTCCAGTGATGCATGCAGCCATTGTAGTGTCCAGCCACGCCATTCCTATCAGCATCATATAAGCTATTGCAAAGGCCACAGAGGTGTGTATTTCACCTTGGTGGTACAGGTCACAGCTTTGCCCGTGAGTTACATCCAGCTCCTGCTGCTTTGAAACTGCTTGTTGCTTTATAATAATGACCCTACTGGGTTTCATTTTTCCATAAAAGGGACTATGGGGCCACCTAGTCTAGCCTGTTGTGCATCTGATACCTTTAAATTGCATGCCAGTACCCAGCCTATCATTTCTTCAGGTTGAATACTTGCATCATTTAGAATAAAAGAAAGAAGTTAACATGAGAAATGTGTTCCAGAGAATAAGCAATGCAACAGCAGGAATGAGCTAGGTAAGACATACTGTAGATATTCCTATGTGCTGACAGTAAAATCCACCTGCTACAGAAGAAGTGAAAAGCCTAAGGTCTGTCAGCTGAGCTGGGCTGGAGGGATATCAGCTCAGAGCTGGTAATTAAGTTTTTGCCTCTGGACACATGAGCAGTCTGGCACACAAGATCTGCCAGAGGTACTAAAAAAGCATTGGCACCAACCTTCTGGATTCTTTTATGGAAGTTCACATCGAGTCCAATTGTTGGCTCTGCTTGCAACTTAACAAAAGAGACCTCAGCAGTCTAACTTACTTGAAAATGTCTAAACCAGTGCCAAGATAATCAGCCCTCTGGATGACCCTTTGAATCTCCTTCTCTGCATAAAGCTGCTGTGAACTTAAAGGGAAATTTACCCCAAAAAGAATTTAGATACCACAAAGGGTTCATAAAGTAAAACTCTGGTCCCAGCTCTGAGCAATCCGACATTGCACAACTAGAGTTTAACCTCATCACCACTGAAATTAGCAAGCACTTCTTAAGTGCTTTCACTCAGACCATGCCCAGCACCTGCAGTAACCATCAGCGTGCTGATGGTGCATCTACCTGGTAGGAGTTTGGAATAGATACTGCTGCTGTGCTGAGCTGTATTTGGAAATCCTCTCTTATCTTGCAGCCCAAGACACAAATAGTACTCCTACACTGTGAAGGAAAGCCCAAGCAAGCAGGAAATTACTGCTCACTGTCACAAAATCAGCCTGATTTTGCTGTGTTTTAATAGCGAACACACATGTATTGTGTTGGAAACACCAGTAACCTACTATTAATATCAACTTACTGCAAAGGCAAATGATAACATTACCCTCAACAAGTTTTACAAGCAGCAGCAAAGAAAAAATGGGCTCTGAAACCAGTGCTGGCATTCCGTGAGGTGCCCTGTGCTGTACAGCT